GCTCAGCAGCATAAGCACCTGCCTGGCAAGCTTAAGGTGCTGAGTTTGATTCTTGGTACAAAAAATAAACACATAAAATTATGTGATGCTCTGCCAGGCATTTCTCTAATTACAGCACTCAGGAGGCTGAGACAGGAGGATCACCGTGACTTCAAGGACACCCTGGGCTACATGGGATATGGGAGTTTAGGGCCAGCCTGAACTACACGGTGACCCCATCTCAAGCAAAAAAAACCAAAAAAACAAAAGCTACGATGCTTTAACAAGAACCTAAGTGTCTAGAAATTGAATTTTTTTGATATTTTAGAAATGCGTATTGGCAACCTTCTATCACTTTTTATTTCTAAGAATAAAATATGAATCTTAGATTTGAAGTGAAACTACTCAGGACCACTTTTAGATTAAGTTAACTTTTTAATACTATTTCATATTGAAAATGGTGCATTGAGAGGAAAATAAAGGGGGAACATTTCTTAACTTTAGATTCGAATGAGGAAGAAGTAGTCCATAAAATCAGAGGTTATGGTGGGGCTAGAGGAATCTGCTTTAACTGTCAGGGAGAGAGGTAGGAAGGGTCAGTGGCTCTGACCTGTGGGATGTTTTTTGTATTATTTAGGTTGTGAAGGGAACTCGCCTAAACATCTAATACTACACACACACACACACACACACACACACACACACGCACACGCACGCACACGCACACGCACACGCCACTTCCTTTACATCCCCACATCACCTTTGTATACAGTGGAAAGAGAAAAGAGAGTCCACGGTATTAAGCACATTGTTATTACTGGTTCTCTCCTAGGAGCCAGGCTTTAGACTAAGTGATTAACATGTCTTCCATACGGACATGGGAAGGTCTTCTCATGGCTCCTTCTTATTTTAAAGAAACTTTCTTTTCATGGTCACTCACCATCATCCTGTCCCTTATAGATGAGTTTCTGTCTTCACATTGGCTCATCCTGTTGCATAAACTTTCAAAGGGATTTTTAATCTCCTGGATGTCTCGTTCATGGAATCCATTTCTTTGCTATGTTGGGCATCCATACTTTCCAACATTTTCCTAAACTCTAGTTTTTAAAATCTGTATCTGCTTTAGAGTCATTACATATCTTTCCTAACCCTAACCCTAACCCTAATCCTAACCCTAACCCTGAGTCCCTTCCTGTATGTGGAAACCTAAACTCTTTCTAATAAGGATTTAGGATTTACCAGCCACCCTCCCCAGTTAATTCTATGAGATAACTGATCCCAAAGTCTAATCAACATATGACTGAATCAAGATATTGTTGAGAACATTGTTGGTTCTAAGCAGCCACACCTAGTCTGGCTTTGATGAAATTTTTATCTCTCTTGCACAAAAAGAAGCAAGGTTATAATAACAATGAGGTCATTGTGGAGTGTGTTTGCTTTTGTCTATAAAGCTACAGTTATCCAATATAATGGATACTATTTTACCCTAAGATTCTTATGTTGTTAACATCCTGTCATAAAGAGGTAGCAATACTACTTGGGAATTGATTTTTGCGTCACCTTCACTTGTTAAATAAAATTTGGGGACTGGAGTCTAAAGTCTGACTCCAACATTTTGGAAAAATTTATGAGGGTTCATGAAATACAAGTCTGGGAATCCGCCACCAGAAGTTAAAGAAGAGGAGAGGGGCATGGTAGAGAGTTCAGCAATGTGAAACACCGCTTAGTCTCACATGATTCCTGGTTCCAAAGCTTCAGTGTCTCTTTTTGCCTGTTGGGGTTCCTGTTCCTAGCTTACTTTGAGGGGACTTGGCCAGACGATTGCTTAGCTCCTTTAACGTTCAGCTTTCTCCAGTAACTGATTGCATAGCTGACTGCTAGAAAATAGTGAGATTTGGATAACAGAGTCAGTGTGTTCCCTTTATTCATGGAGAAACATAGAGAAGGCAGCTTAAGGGAATCTGAAAACAGAACAACCACGAAAACAAGCCGACAGTTGTTTGGTAGATGGTGGGACCATCCCTTCATAAAATGTACTATGGTATGTCTTAATGGCCGGGACGCCAACAGGAAAGTTCTATCTTAAGGACCATTGACTTAGTCACACTGCATTCACCAAAAAGACAGCGAACATTTGCTTATTGAAAAGAAATCCTCCATCATACTTTCCTTTATATTTTATCTTTTACGAAATTTCTTAGAAAGTATTTTTCTTGGTCCATTAAGCTCATAGTATCATTTCGGAAAAGCAGTTTTCAAATTCCTTCCTTAGTCCATTAACAGTATAATACAATAATTGCCCATTTAGTATAGTCTCCAGTTTGCACTGGGAACTCAGTGAATATTTGGTAGATAAATTTTAATAAAACATACAGTTGCACTGTGATCTTGTTCTATTATAAACACATCTAGCAACTGCTCTCTTTCTTTTTTTTAAGAGAAGCTACATGTACCGTGGAGGGTGCTCTTGGTATGGCTACCGCACAGTCTACTCTGTGTTTCTGGAACTGTCAAAACGAACTTGGCTGCTCTCAGGAACTCTGGTCCAATATCACTGTCAAAATGTTTCACAACAGTTTGGCCAAATGTTTGCGGGACAGCTGTGCTACTAACCTGCCTGAGTCATTTTCCTTTTTTCCTTTTGGCCCAATCCTGTGATTCATCACTCTGCTTTTAGAATATTTACCTATTTTTAAAACCAGTCAAAGGCAGCAGCCACTGTTTGAAAGTAAACACCCCACACATCAACTTGGTGCAGCTTGGTAAGCAGCTTCACAAGCTCTGAAATTTCTGGCAGGCAGTGATGCCAGATAAAGCAGATGGCACTGAGCAGTGAAACACAGGGCTGGCTCCAGACTTGGTAGTCTCCTTACATCTGTTTTCGCTTTTTCTCGTTTACACTGCCATTTCCTGCTTGGGTTAATCCAGTTGGATCTGTTCTTTAAAAAAAATCTTACTCTCAGCTTGCTTATCTTTAAGACATCTACTATGCGTTCATTTTCACATCACTTAGATTTTGATTTCAGTTCAAGAGATCCAGTCTTAAATTTTCTTTTACCTAGAATGTGATCACCATGGTCACATATAATGTTCCTTAGCATAGTGTGACTATAAATAATGAATAGATTTCTGCCCTGAGCCTCATTAATTCTGGGTCATACCAAACATTTATTATTTGTACTTCTATATTAAATCAAATGGATAAATAAATCCCTGCCCCCTTTTTCTAATGAAGGAGAAAGGAGTGTGACTTTACAGAGGACAAGGTAGATTAAGTCTCAGGAAGCTCTGAGCTTCATTCCTGGTTATCTTCTAGAGTTCTGGAATCCCCTGTCCGCACTCTTACTCAGCAGAGGAGTCTCTCCTTCCAGGAAGTGCCAGCCTGCCCATGATTATTAGGGCTGGGATGCCAGCATAGAATATGTTCCCATTTACCTGTGCCAAATCTTTCTGGCCTTGGACCCAAGGAGCTACAATAGTCATAGGTTCTTGAAATTGTACTGAAGTAAATCAAATGTACCCGAGACCAAAATGCATGAATTTTATAATGAAGTCTATCTTTATAATGGGTCAGCCACATGTGAGTATTTCTACTTTTGTCCAGTTCTTTGCAAAGAATGGAGTGAATTTAAAAGGGCACCATGATGGATGGGAATTTCTTACTTCTGATACGAGGGGGGAAAGTACATTCAAATGGCCTGGGGACTGAGCCTTTTTGAAATGAATGTTGAGTGAAATCAAGAATCAGTGGGCTTCCATCGACTGGAATGATCATAAGTATAAAATGGATTCAAATTTGGTGGCACCTTGCCCTTGTTTTAAGCCACTTTTAAACTGGAGTACTATTAAGCTACTCTGACTAAAATATACCAAATGCTATTAAATGACAAGACACTTCAGGTGTTTGGCAGAGTTCAACTCTGTCCTTGCTTACATGATCTTTCTGTTCACATCTTCCTGTTTTTAAGGAGATAAAAGCCTTGAGGACGCAGCAGTGCATGTGTACTCCACTTTATTTTATCCTATTAGTGACTCGGAGAGGATGTGGTGGTCTCTCTATATTTGTAAGATCTGCCTCTGCAAATTCAATCAAGGATTGAAACCACTTGAAAAAACCTTGTGTCTGAACTGAAAATGTACACAATGTTTTTCTTGTCATTAGGCATTAAACAATACAATCCGGCAACTATTTATCTTCCAGTTACATTACATTTGGTATTAGGAGTAACCCCTCACCCACCCCAACAGTTTTTTACTCTTTGCATGTGTTCTTTGTTGTATTCTCAGAGTCAGGTACCACGGTAGCGATTGCAAAGGCATGACCCTTGAAAGCCTGAGTTGGGCTATGGAGATGGAGACTGGGGTCACTAGTGCTGTGCTAAGCACCAGAGCTGCGGTGCCAATCTATTCCTTGGAGATTTGGATTTCTACCTGTCCCCCACTGTAACCCAGAAAGGGCTCCTGGTGAATTGTGCTAGTGGCAGTTTGTGGTGAGAGCAGTGGATGAAACCATCAAAGCTTGTGACGCTTGTAGTCACTGAGAGCAGGACGAATGCTTTTACTTTTCTCTGACGTGATCTTTTGGGCTGTAGAGGGTGTTCTGGCCACCTCGTTAGCACCTTGTTAAAGCACCTCGTTAGCACCTTCCTGCAGATCTTATTTTTTGGTTTTGGCTCAGGTGGGCCATATAGAAAGACAAATAGCCCTTCTTAATTAGAGAGCTACCAGACTGGGCATTTGAGGATTTCTTTTCTTTCTTTCTTTCTTTCTTTCTTTCTTTCTTTCTTTCTTTTTTTTTTTTAATCTGATCAGGCTACTTAAACTCTTCAGGCTTCTGTGTATACAGCTAAGGAACAAGATTGTCTTTTACATGCCATTTATCCCCAGCTGAAGCAATGAAAGTAACAGAAATCTCTATGGTCAAGTAGTTTCACTAGGTAGGAGCAAGCCTGGTCCAGCAGGGTGACTTTCATGAGACAAAGGCCTCTCCAGTGAACAATCATTTTATTTTCACATTTTAGATGACACGCCTCCTGAAGACTCTATTCCTTTGGTCTTTCCAGAATTAGACCAGCAACTACAGGTAAGGATTTTCTTTAAATCTTTCTGCTTTCCTCTTTAGTGTCTCATAATATAATAGGCAGGGAAGTAATCTACTTGGATACAAGAGCTTCCAGATCATCAATATTTGGCATTTCTGGGGCTCCAGAGTCAGCCGGAAGCCATCATGAATTGTTCCTGGTTATTTAACTATGATACCCATTCATCAAACACTGATCATATCAGCCAGCTAGAACCAGGTGTTCAGGAACCTAGGAAAGGGTGGTTCTTACTCTCATTCGCAGTGAGTGTCTATGGACCATTGGAATTCTGGCTGTGTTTTGGGATAATGGCTTAATGGTAAAAATTCTACAGAGAAAATTTGTGACATTTGTCAAAATTGGAATAACTTTCCTTTCTTGCTGCTGCATTTCTCTTGTTCTTTGACCACTTTTAATGGAATTATTAGGAGCTGTTGTGTCTTCCCTCACACAGTAATGGAATTATTACTGATTTTGTTATTTGTACATACTTGCAGTACATAGTGGTTACCTTTGTCTTGGGGAGTTGGTACACGTATATAACATATCTTAATTATTTTATTTCCTTTTCCCCTCCCCTTTCATTCCCACTCCCCATCTCTTGGTCTTTTCCTATTTACAGAAGATCCATCTCCTTGATTTTGATTATTGAATTTTTGCTTTACTCTTTAAGTTATTAATACCATGAGTTTCTCACCTAAGAGAAATCATGTAATGTTTAAACTTACATGTCTCACTTATGTTTCCTAATATTATGTTTTCTAGATTCATCCATTTTCCTACTAAAGACTCACATTTATCTTTCTTTTTTTATTTTAAAGATAGTAAAATCCAATCAAACAAACCAGAATGAAATCAATCAAAACAAGGCAGCAAAATTGGTACAGAACTTCAAAGCAGGATACGAGGAAAACAACGGTAGCTACCATACTGTATCTTGTTATCTTCACAATAGCTGTCCATTCTATCAGGTATAGCAGAATCAAACCAAAACCAAAGTAGAATAAAACTAATCAAAACAGAATATTGAATAAAGCAAAAACAATTAATCAGAACAAAGCAAAATAGCGAGAGCAATATTGGATTTCAAATATAAGATAAATGTAAATCCTCGTATTTGCTATATTGCATACTGTCATCCTCCCAATAGATGCTCAGACCGCTGGCCCCAGGCTAGAGAGGCTGGCTAGTTGATTTCCTGTTGGGTCCTTCCAGTCCCAGCATGGCCAACTCTTGGGAGGTACTGGCTTTTTTTTCCCCTGGAAGCTGCATGACTAAACATCGATACACATGTTTTGCTTGCTTGCCATTTTCTCCTTCTAAATACTGACTTCATAAGTCCTTAGGAAGAACCTGCAATTTTTAGTTTCCAACAGGTCTTGATATACTGTATACAGTTTATGTATCCCTTACCCAAAATGCTTAGGCTAAGAAGTGTTTGGGAGTTTTATGGATTTTGAACATTTGCATATTGATGAGATATCTTGGTGATGATTTTTAAGCATAAAATTCATTCATGTTTCATATGTACCTTATGCACATAGCATAAAGATATTTATTTATTACATTGTTTTGGAGTATTGGGGATTGAACCCAGTGCCTTTTTACTGAGCTATATTCCCAGATTTTTAAATATTTTTTATTTTAAGACATGGTCTCCCTAAATTGCTAAGTTGCTTAGGCTAAGTATGAACTTGTAAACCCCTGCCTCAGTCTCCCATAGTGGTGGGCTTCCAGGTATATGCTATCATGCCTGGTTTTTAAGAGAATTTCATACAATATTTTTTAGTGTGCCTGTATTTTGACTGCAAGCCATTACAGAGGTCAGAAGTAGAATTTTCTATTTGTAGTATCATATCCACACCCACAGAGGTTTGATTCTGGAACATTTTGGAGGTTCATAGTGTGAAGGCTCAAGTTTTATCCTATACCCAGTAGCTTTTCTTAATTTGGCTCTGCTTGGTGTCCCACTCACTGAGTACGGGTCCCCTGTTCCTGGATGACTCGAGGAAGAACCAAGAATGAGCTCTCAGCAAGCAAGGGGCCCTCCTTTTAGCTCATCTCAGTTCTTATCACAGGCCAGGTGTACTGAGTTCAAAGCCTGGGCAACTAGGTCAGGTTGGAAGGGCTGATGCTCCATTTCTGAGTGGCCTGTAGAAACCAACACAGAGCTACTCGGGTGTGACCTGGATTCTTGGAGGAGCCATTACTTTTACCTCTGCAGCATTTGTGGACATTGTCACAACTCTTCATCAGCAAGGCTGCTCAACAGAGCACAATCAGTTTTGTAGGTGTCACTGAAGGTGGCAGAGGATGTGGGGAGGTTACCATGATTACCACACAGCTGTCCACAGACGACTGTTAGTCCTGTTGTTAGTCTTCTAAGATTTCCTTTGCAGCTATCAGTCCTCTGATCTTCTTTTACCTCCCACTGAGCATCTGTGACACAGTCTCCCAGTTCTTGACCTCTAACCTGCTCTTTCTCTGCTCCACCAGCTGGTCTCCTTTCCAGCATCGGGAGCTGTGTGGCCCAGTCCCTGCTGTTCCTCCCGGAAGGCTCTCTCTGTGCAAGTTGTTCCCTGCTTAGGTTCTATCCTTATAGAGGGGTTGTCTGTCTGTGCTGGTGGTGTGAAGTATTAACTACTTTCCTTCCCATTCACTGCCTTTCCCCCTTTATTGTGTTGTTACCTCAAAGGTATTTTATTTTATTTTATGTGGTACCTGGGATCGAATTCTTTTCAGGCAGGCACTTATACTGCTGAGCCAAATCCTTGGCCCTCAAAGGTATTTTATCATCATGAATATCAGGTGTAAAATCATGTTTTCAAAATAATGCAGAAAGTATATTTCTGTTCTTGTTCTCCCATCAAAGCATGGATCATGAATTTCCTTTTTTTCATATTGGGAAAAAAACCCCAACAACACCTTTTTTCCCCATTGGGAACTTGAATGATTTTCCGTGGCTTGTGGATCATCTAACAGGATTCACAGCACCCTGGATAGTTATCCAGATAATTTTTCTGTTGAAGTATCCCTAGGTCCATTTGAATTTTATAGCTTTAATTTTATTTGACATATATTGGAAACAAAAACTATTTAATTATTTTATTCCAGTGAGACTATTTCCTTTTCATTGATCTTTAATGAGGTAGGGAATCGAGAGTGGTTTCTTGCTCAGGAGTTTTGATTATTTCCCCGCCTCCTTCAAATATGGTATTGCTTTACTTCTGTCTGAACAGAGAGACCATTACCTGCCCTGAAACTAAATATATTTAAATAAATTTTGTTTATAAAGTGAAGGATGTGGTTGAGTGTGTTACGAGCATTCATCAGCAGTCAAGACGTTGGAGTAGGGCTTGCTCTGGCCAGAGCTCTTGCCTGTAACCTTTATTCTACACTCTCGGGCACGAACGACTAGAAACGATAAGATAATGAGGACTGGAAGTAGAAGGCTAACTTAGAAAATGATGTCAAAAAAAGCAAATTCTGCTTTCCGTGCTTAGCACAGGGCACGTATACTGAAGTCATTCAGCAGCTAAGAGTCTGTATTAAAAGCAATGAAAATGCTTTATATGCAAAGGAAATAATCCATTACGTGGAGCAGACCGTCTTTATAGTCAATCACATGTGCTTCTATCTCACAGTAATGGCTCCTGAAATCTTTCCCTGACTCTCATAAACCACCATGGAAGAATAAAGTTGAGTTACAAAGGCCTACGAAATGCCTGATGGGTGGTGACGTTTGTTTGAGGATGAACTGACTTGATTATCTCTACTGAAGCCTTTTAATTTGCTGAGGGAAAGAAAATGATACCAGATTTTTATTGCCAGGTCTGCTCTCTGTAACTCTTTAGACTAAACAAGGGGTGTTTTTCTACATCGGATCTTATTTGATGCTTGCAATAATCCTATAAACTCACTATCATGTTTCCCCTTACAGATAAGAACTTTGAGCTTAAATTTGGGTCTAAATAAATTTGGTATTTCTCTCTTTTACTTCCCACTGTTTTGTGGATAGAATGGCTGCTTAAATTATTTTGAAAGGTAAAGATATTTTTGTTTTTGGCTTCCAAGTTGCCATGATATAGTTCTAGAACAACCTTGTAAAATTCGTTCTGACTTTCTGATATCCATGGCACATTCTTTAGTCACTTATAAAGTGCAGCTATAAAATATCTGTTTGGTAGATACTCTATCACCAATTTGATTCCCCAAGATTTTTCTGTTGCTTTTCCAAGAATGTGGACATGTTTGAACATGTAATTCATGTTGCTTCTATTTTCACAAAAGCCAAAAAAAGCCTTGTGTAAGAATAGCAGTGACAAACGTTTCTCTTGATGTCTCTATTAAGGCAAATTGTTGGGCAAGAGACCTGAGGGTATGATAGGTGTTCAAATGAACATCTCTTTGTAATGTTCATGAAGGCCATGGACATCCTCCCAAAGGCAGGTGGAAGGTTAATTTTATTTTATGCAAGTTTCTTTCTTGAGACTAGCTTTCTAAATCCCCCATACCCATCAGAGGCATGTTTGCGTATAGCTTGTTTAGATCTTACAGTTAGAAAAAAAGGAGGCCTGATTCCAAGTCCACTTCAAGAATAAATAAAAAATTATTACTTTCCTTTATCTTAGCTTTTTTCTCTTAGGAAAAGAAGTAATTAAAGATGGACATCTGAAGGATGTTGGAATCCTTTAATAATTTCAGAGTTTGGGTCAAGACCGAAACTGTCTTATGGCTTTAGCTTATTGTATTTTCTTTTGGGAATTGTGGGTCTATATGAGGTCAAAGCTATGTTATAATGTTGTCTTAAACACATTCAAATGATAAACATGATAAGAACATGATATCAAGTAAATTATAATAAACAACCTAATGGGAATTATAGTGACTGAAGCATGTGAACTGCCATAGACTGAGCTAGATTTGGATTTTAGCTCCATAGTATTTTTGTCACTTGTAGTATATTATTCACTCTCTTTAAATCTCACATTTCTCAACTACA